ACTACTACTACGACTACGACTACGACTACGACTACGACTACGACTACGACTACGACCTAGACCTACTACTACTACTACTACTACTACTACTACTACTTACGGGACTACGGCACACGAAGTCCCTACAGGCAAAGCGGTTTTCCTGCCAGCAGCCAATGCTGGGTCAAGGCCTGTAATGGCCGAGTCAAAAAGAAAGGTGGCAATCACGGTCAAAGCCCCCAGCGCACTAGCAATCTGCTTCCTCAGGGGTCTTACTTTCTTTTTGGGCTTTGAAGACCGTGATCAGCACCGAAGCTTCACGATCTAAGGCCGCCATCTTGCGACCATACCGAGTATCCTTTTCCAGGACTCGCCACAATCCTCTCCCGGACGCATCATGAAAAAGAGCAAAGCTTGTCCGAAGAGGAAAACTGGATGCCTCAAAGCGAGGTTCTGGCCTTCTGAAGCTCTTGGCCCCGTGGGCCACATGAATGGCCAGATCATCCTTCTTGTGCCAGCCCCGTTTTGGAGCTAGCCCTTGCAAGAACGGCAGTATCGGGTCATGATACGCAACCGGCTCTCCACTCAGCACATCCGGCCCAGGTAGTGCCTTGACCTTCGGCTTGATCGTCTGCTTCACAAAGCGCACGTCGTACTTGTAACTCCACTCGCCAGCCTCCAGAGTTCGTCGGAAGTGCTGGGGGTCCATTTGCTTTGTTCCGCAGTCGACGAACATGTTTTCAGTCGCCGTCCAACGTAAGGCAGTGTTCGGACGACCCAACATGTTCCTGAGCCATCCCACCGAGAACGCCAAACTTTGCTGGCTTCCGTAGGAAGGGGTGTCTGAGTTCCCTTTGTCGTAGCAGTCCTTGGCGTCGGTCACCGCAACGAGGCCCACGAGGTTCAGGATGCAGTCCACACCACGGTGCCCGAGGTCGTATCCAAGCACTTCAGCCCAATGGCCGCGACAGTATTGCCCAACATCGAAGGCCTCCTCGATGCCCATTAGCTCAGCCGCAAAGGTGGACCTGCAAACACGCTGTAGGCGGTGGCTTCTGTGGTCAAGTAACGTAAAACGTCCTGTGCCGCCGCTTAGCAAACTCCGCTCGGCTAGCAAGACACTGTAGCAGGCCTGGGAAAAGATCCGCTTCATGGGCTGGTCGCCTTCACCACCATCCCGGTTGACGTTCCCCAGGCTCGCGTCCGAGACCACCACAATGCCGACGCCTTCGAGGTTCAAGGGGTGGAACTTCAAGACAAACTCACTGGTCCCCTTGAACTCCTTCACAAGGTTGTTGGCCCGCAACAGGGTTCCAACGGTAGCCGTCTCGGCTTGAAGCACAGAGAGCTGGAAGCTCATGTCCACTCTAACTTGGGCCACCAGCCACTGGAGCGAACCAACCAACGCACGAAGTTGCTTCATCTCACCCGGGGTGAGGGCCGCCTCCATGTCTCGGCGGCGCCCACTCGCCACACGAATTGGCGCCAAGTTCTCGTGATAAGCCTTCATCGAAAGGCCGACCACACCTGAGACCGGATCCTGGTCCACGCGCTTGCCGCAGTACACAAAGGAACCCTTCTCGATGGAGCCGAAACCCAACTCGGATCCCAGCCGCTCGATGGAGGCCCACGCTAAGCTGCTCCCAGAGAACAACAAGTCGTCCACATGGCAGCAGAGGACACCTTCGAGGTGAGGTTCGGGCCCCTTGGACCAAAGGAAGAAGGTGGCTGCGTCCATAGTTGATGCCACCCAGGTCTCCTTGTTGAGGCTCTTCCGCAAGCGCAAGAACCACTCGCGAGGAGCGTCACTGAGGCCGAAGACCCCTTTTACGATCCTGCTCAAGCGCCTTCCCACGGGCAAGGTTGGGCTTCCTCCTCTCGACTCCACGTTCTGCAAGTAGAGCTCGCGCACACCATCCATGTACCTCTCGCCCTTAAGGAAAGCGCTCTTGACGTCAGCGGAGCCCATGCGCCAACCCTTCTTGAAGTTGCTGGCCGCCAAAGTGAACAAAAGGTGCTGGGAAGTCCGGCTGGCCGTTGGCGCGTCCTTTCTGAGCTCCAGGGCCGTGAGGTCCTTGTATCCTGGGACCACCAATCTGGCCGAAGCACGTATGCCCAACTTGTTGGTCTCAGTCCTGAGGCCGTTGTTCTTGTCCGTGAAGACGAAGCGAGGTGTCATCACCTTGTGCATTTCTCCTCGCTGCCGCAAAGTAGCCAAAACCTTGGCTGTTTCCTCGTCCGACAGGACCTCGACCGCGTCATTGCGAACCCAAACATCCCAAGCTTCCTTTGCCGCCTCGGTGAAGGCCTTGCGCTGCTCCTCATTCATCTGGTTCCAAGAGTACTCTTTGCGAGCGGCCTGCACGGCATAGGCGTCATTGCTTGATGGCCAGCGAAGCCCGGCCTTCACGAAGGCTTCGTACTGAGACCAACTCGGAAGTGGCCATCGGCCGTCCCAGCTCCCATGGTCCCGGGCTTCAAAGCTATCTCCGGAAGTTCGGTCCAACGCAGCCTGAGCTTGCAACTGCACCAAGGGATGGACTCCCTTTGTGCCAGCCTGGGCAGCCGCCAACACGAGGTCCCGTTCCAGAACCAAGGCATCAAAAGGAATCCCTTCGGCTCCTGCCCCAGGCTCGTCGGCCCTCAGGTCCTCGGTGCCGACTTCCGCGGCTCGCTTTGTCCCAGTTGCCCCGGCTGCCTCGGCTCCTGACGAAAGTGGCAAAGAAGTCGTGGGGAGCACACCTAGGCCTCGATGAGACCCCTCTGAAATCACGGACGGTCGCCTGGAAGCGGCTGGTTGCTTGCCGACGCTGCCCTCACGAACTCGTTGGCCGACACCGGTGGCAAATCTTGACCCCTCTGCTCTCGCATCCTAGCCATTGTCTCTCTAAGGGTCCTCTGGAACGGCACAGCATTGTCTAAAACGGAGGTTCTGAAAGTGAAGGTTGTTCCGAAAGTCCGGCGCCATCAGAAAAACTGGCGTCGCACTGCTCTGGCTCTGCTTGCTCTGCTGCTGAAGAACCTGGTGCCAAAGAGTCACCGGGTTGCCCACGAGGAGGTTCTGGAAGTGAAGGTTGTTCGGAGAGTCCGGGGCCATCTTCCCCGTGCTCCGGGGCGGCTTCTGACAAACGAGGCCCCACCATCTCCCACTCTTGGTCTCGCTCGGCTGCCTCCGCCACTTCTTGAAGAACCGACTCCCATTCTCCTGTGGATAGCCTTTCCATCGCCGAAGCCGGTCTCACGTGTTCCAGCGCCACCTTCGTGAGCGTGCCCCGGGAGGTCACGTAGCAGTTCGCTCCCTCGAAGGCCACCAAAAGAGCAGGGCCATGCCACTTGCGAAGAAGCAGCCGACGTTGATTGTGGCTGCCTCGCTTGTTGTACTTCTGCTCGCGCCAGTAGTAGACCAAGTCTCCCACCACAGGCGCTGCGGCGATGGTGGGATTTCGTGACCTGGCCTGTTCCGCCCGGCGCAAGGAACGACTAAAATGCAACCTCAACATCGCCATGCGAGCGGTCTCTCGGATGGAAACAAGACGGGCGAACTTGGGCTGCTCGAGGGAGTCGTTCTCAGCAAGGTTATTCCTCAAGGCGTCTCCTGGTAGCAGAGGTTGTCGGCCCACGGCCGCTTGCATCGGAGAGAACCCACTGTCACCCACATCCATGTTGTACGCGGTAACGGATTCCCCCAGGCCCAAGCTTATCTCTTCCTTGCCCATCAAGGACTTGGCCGCGGTGCAAGCACTGAGCAACGACTTCAGTATCCCCCCGGTCCTCTCACACAGTCCGTTTTGCCACGGCGCTTGCACCCCAATGTGGTACAGGAAGATGCCACTCTCCTCAGCAAAAGCCTCCAGCTCGATGCTGATAAACTCTCTGCCCTGGTCACTTACCAGAACTCGTGGCATACCAAACACGGGTGCCCAGCGCTCCTTCAAGAACTTCACCACTTCAGACGTCGACTTTTGCTCCACAAGGGTTGCCATCTGAAACTTCGTGACGGCGTCCACGGCATGGAGCACTGCGAAGCGGGTGCCCACAGCATCAAAGACATCGAAAATATCCAGGGCAATCTGATCTCCAGGCTCCCTGGGTCCCGGTAAGGAGGCCGGTCGCCTCGCTTTCGGGGGCCGTCTCTCTTCACACACGGCACACTTCAGCTGCTTAGCTGCTATCACGGCCTCGGCAGGAACGCCTGCAATGAGAAGCGCTCTGGCCAATCGTTGGGGGCTCCTATGGCCCGTGTTCTCGTGCAGCCTTCTAACAGCCTGCCGCACCGCCGCCGACACTGGCACTTCCTTGGCTTGCTCTCTGTCCTCGTCCGGGCCGCCGGTCTCCAACCCAAACTCTGAGCCGTCGGGGGCCACAGACAGGTAATCATCCTCCTCCGTCTCTGCCGCCATGGCCTCCGTCACTTTCTCGGGGCCGAGGTCCTCGTCAAACTGCTTCTCGATCGCCTTTAGAACGGCATTCGTCAACCCCTCGGCCGAAGCTGCTCCGAAAGCCGTCGCCACAGCCAAGCTCGAAGTCACATAGCGGTGGCCGTCCTTGACGAATTCCAACACACCCGGCTCGTCCATCAGCTCCTGGCCAGGCAGGGTTCGGAGCGGAGAAGCGCGACACGGAAGTTGAAGAAGAAACTGCCGACCGGACCGCCAATGAGCCAAAGCTCGCGCCATGATGCCCGCCTCGGCTTCCAAATGTTTTTGTTGATTGGCGTGTCTGGTCGCTGGCGGCGCGAAGTTGAGCAGGGGAGACCGCCTCGGCACAGAAAGCAGCAGGAAGTAGGGGCGGTCGCCGGCACCAGCCGAACAAGCATGTCCACGGAGGGCGGCTTCTCGCCCAATCGCCGGCAGCAGTCCCCGAGGCATGGCCGAAGTCGCCCCGAAGCGCGGGATGCCCAGAAAAGGCTCGCAAAGTGCATTGTCATAGTCCTGGGCGTCGGTCACGGCAAAAGCCTCGTTGAGCTGCTGGGGGCTCACCTTGACAAGCTTGCGGTCATACTTGCACTTGTGCCACGCCTGGGCTATCAGTTGCCGCTGCCCGGGCTTAAGACTCTGACGCAGGGGAGGTATTACAGGTCCTCCTCCTCGGTTTGGTGCACTTGCTGAAAGCCCATGTCGCTGTCCGGAGAGAGGCCACCGTCCCCAGTCATCGTCACGGCCGGGGTCGCCAACTGCATCATGTGACCCATGGCTTGCGTCAGCATGGCCTCCAATCGTTGGTCCCGGGCGTCCAGCATACCCTGGACCTGTTGCAGGATGTCTGGGGCCGAGGGCTGTTCCACAGGCATTGGGCCGGCAGTCATAGGAAGATGGGGCTCCAAGGCACGTTGTGGTAGTACTGGAGGTGCTGCCCTTGAGCCCGAAGGTTGGCCTCGATCGCCTTCGGTCGGGTCGGTTTTGGGCATCCCCTTCAGCGTCTCCACCATGGGCTTCAGCTTCTCCTTTAACTTGTCCACGGTGTCGGTGCCCTGGATGGGCACGTTGAGCAAGGTCGCCAATCGAATGAGGTCCTGCTTCAAGGTCGGCAGCCCCCCTTTTGGTCCCAACAGAGACCTTGCTGCACGAAGGTCTTCGCCTGCTCGCCGCTTGGTCGCTGCCTCCTCCTTGAGCTTCGCCACCAGTTGCCCTTGAACAGCTGCCTTTGCTCCTTTCACGGCCCTTGTCACAAGCACCCCTTCGAGGAGCGGGTCCTCCAGGAAGGACAGCTTGATGCCAAGGCGGTCGCGGAGGTACATGCCATCCTTCAGGAGGCCCAGGTCCGAAAACTTGTCCGCCATCACCGCCTTGCGAAAGTGTCGCCTTGGGAGGGCCCGGCTCTTCACCATGTTTTCTGCTTGCTGTCGCCACTCTTCCGAACTCTTGACACTGCTGTACGGTAGCGGCACGTAGCGCAACCCCGGCCGCTGCAGCAGCCAGAGCTGCACACCACCGAAATGCCATCGATTTCGGTCTAGCACTCTTAGGCACATGCGGCGAAATCGGCTGCACACCCTTTCGCTTCGGCTCTCTGCGTTCCCGAGCATCGGGAGAAAGGCTCGGGGATCTCGATGGCATCGGGGGCACCGGCTTGTTGCTCGAGAGGTCACCGGCAACAGCATGTGATATCGCTTCCGATGCCAGCTGCTCGTGCACACTCACATGCGACATGCCAGGCTTCAGAGCAGCTGCCTTGCGCACTTGCCACTCTCCAGAACGAACTTGCACTTCAATCACCCCGTCCTGGCCTTGTCTGGTCCACCCCTTCTTGTCGAGCTCGACCTTGCCACCAGGGAAGACGTCGAGGAAGAAGTGGCCTGCCGTGAGCTGCTTTAGGGGGATGCGCTTGGCATCCAAGTAGTCTGCGCGAAGAGCCCTGCGAGTAAAACTGATCACACCTCCGATGGCCTCCAGGAAGTCGCGCCCGAGAAGAAGCCCCAAACCATCCACCTCCACAACACTGGCCCACACAAGTATCAAGGAACCACCGACAACCATTGGGAGGCGATGCCTTTCACGACTGGCCTTCGTCCCGTCGTTCCCGAACTTGAAGGTCTCCTTCTCGACTTCGGTGGCCACCAGGTCCGAGAGCACCTTCCAGGAACGGGCTCGGCGCAAAGCTGACAAATAGCAATCAAGCCAAGCTCTGCCACAGACGGTCCTATTGCAAGCCGAGTCAAGCGCACCGACGTTCTTTTTGTCCTTCGCCATCATCCCGGCCAGGGCTTCATGCATCTCGCTCGTCTCTAGGGCCTCCTTCAGGTTCGTCACTACAGAGGCCTCGTGCACTTGCTCACCTTCTTCAGCCACGGTCTCGGCTGCCATCGTCTCCACAAGCTGCACCCGGCGCGTCGGTGAAGTGCCCCCTGAGGCCGGGGAACCAGCTCCTCGTCCGCGCAAGCCGCGTCACCGGCCCAGTGCCCCGGGAGGCCGCAGTCGTGGCAAACGCCCTTCTTCTTGAAGGCTGGGCTGCCACCTTTGCCGGCCGGCGGTCCAGTCGCACCGGCCTTTCCAAAGCCACGGTCTCGCCGAACTTCTTGGAGCTTCGTCTTGGCGTCCCTCATAGTGATAAGGGCCTCGGCGGCTGTTTCCACTGACCCTTCGATTTCCTCCAAGGTCGTTGGGTCGATTCCCTCTTGCTCAGCCGCCTCTAGCTCGGCCGCCAGGGCTTGGGCCTCGGACTCAAGCACCTCATCGAGATTTGGGCCCTCGCCTTCGTCAGCAACGAGCTCCTCGTCCTCGCCCCCAATATCCTCCAAGGCCTCGTCGTCATACTCGGCCACATAGGTCTGGCGGGGTCGCCCAGTCGGGGGCGATCGTCTCGTAAACATCCCAGCTCGATCGCGGCCAGGCCCTTTGCCACCATGCGAAAAGGTAGAAGACGCCGCCGAGGAAGATGCCCGCGGCCCCGACGCCGAAGAAGCCCAAGACCTGGTGCCAAAAGAAGAGCCCGAACTATGAAAGCTCCCAGGTCCGCGGCCTCGCCCTTTTTGCTCCAAGCCCAGCCGCCTCACCAACGGGTCGCTCACAGCCAGGTCCTTGAACAAGCGAAGGGCTTCGGCCTCTACTTCCTCGTATGCTTCCTTCCCCTGGAGGGCTGTCTCAAGCAACTGCTTCCTCAAAGGGTCCAGGCCAAGCTTCTCACGCAAAAACCAACCCAGCTCTCCTGAAGGAAGGTTTATCCCCTCAGCTCGCAGCTCTGCGGTCAAGGAGCGGAACCTGCTCATGAAGTCGGCTGGTCGCTCTCCCGGCTTCCGGTGGAGATTCAAGTAAAACTGGTTCCTCAGCTCGCCCTTGCGGTCCAAAGCGGACTTGCCATTGATGCTCTCAAGGGCCTTCATGAGCTTTGTCAGGCCTGCGAAGGGATCTTCAGGCGTGACCACAATCTCCACGCCATCTGGATCCGTAGTCTTGACCGCCGGCTGATATTCAAGCTCTTTCGGAGAGAATTCCTCTCCCCTCTGTCTCACCACTCCCGATTGCCTCAAAAGCCAACGGGCCGCCAGGTTGAACTTCTTGGTGGCCTCCACGTCCAGCGAACACATCCACCATTGCATCTCCTTCTCAAAGGCACGCCACGTTGTAGGGCATCCGTCCCAGGTCGGCACTCGGTACCAAGACGATGTAGTCTTATCGTCCTCGGCCATGGCTCCTGGCAAAAGGTCAGGACAAAAGGGTAGTCGAAGAAGGGCGGCCCAGCTCGCCGCCACGAAGAAAACTCAAGGTCAAAGCGGGCAGCCTAGCCGCTGCCAAAAGGGCGGAACCCAAAAGTTCCAAAAGCGAAGTTCCGCGGGCAGCCTAGCTGCTGCCAAAGTTGGCCTGCACTCGTAGAGGTCAAGGGTCGAAAAGGCTGGAGCAGTCCAGGCAACCCGACGTGCAAGCACCAAGGGCTGGGCCGAGAAGTTCAGAGCGCCCGCCCGAGAGGAGCCTTGGCAGGGTGCACCGTTCGTGCCCAGCCAACCTGGCTCACAGAAGACAGCTCGAGGTCGCCGATCAGGAAGCCACCGAAGGAGCCCACACTGAAGTAGCACACCCAGCTGCCGCAAAGAGGTAAGGGAGCAGTTCGATGACCAAAGAAAAGCTATTGCGGAGGGCGCAGAAGGAAAGACTCAGGCTCCGCTGCCACTAAGGGACTACGGCACACGAAGTCCC